CCCTCCCTCCTTCTCTCCCTCCCCTCCCTCCCTCCGCCGCTCCGTCCGTCGGTCCGTCCGTCCCTCCTGCCGCCCGCCTGCCCGCCCGCTCGGGGCGCAGGGCGGGAGGCGGGAGCGGCCCCCACCGCGCTCCGCACACGCGCACCGGGAGCCGCTCGGCCGCACCGGCGGAGCCGCCGCCGCCCGCCGCCAACCCCCGCCCCGGGGGCGGCTGCCCCGGCGGAGCCTCCATCTGCAGCCCGGCGGCGGAGCGGGAACATGGCGGACCTGGAGGCGGTGCTGGCCGATGTCAGCTACCTGATGGCGATGGAGAAGAGCAAGAGCACCCCGGCGGCCAGGGCCAGCAAGAAGATCACCCTGCCCGAGCCCAGGTACCGCCCGCCCCGCCGCGGCCCCGGCCCGGCCCCCGGCGCCCTCCCCGGGCCGGACATAACGGTCCGGCCGTGCCCCGGTTCCCGCGGCCTTTGCCGGCACCGGCTCCGGCCGTGCGAGCGGGGRCCGGGCTGGGTGTGCTGGATGATGTGTTGGATTCGTGTGTTTATTTGGCACAACTTGTGCGGGGTCCCTCGGCGGGTGAACGGGGGCACCGGGGACGAACCCGCGCAGCTCGGGGGGTTTATGAATCCCCAGCCCGTCCGGCTCCTGGGGTTTATGGGATCCCCGGTGCTCCGGCCGGCGGGTGAGGAATTCAGTCGGTAGCACGGAAGCGCTACCGCTCTGGCCGTGCTGCTCTGCAGAGCGATTTTTTGGTGATGCTTCATGGGGTTTGACAGGGGATGCGGGAGGAGGACGGGGCCGGAGCTCGCCCTTAGCAGGCAGCTCACGGAGCAGAAGTGCTGGTGCAGCTCTGGGTTCTGTCGCTCCGACCTTCCCCGGTCCCACCTCGGGTGCTTTGGCACAGCCGAGGTTGTTTGCTTGGGGCTCGGTGCTGAAAGCTGCTTTTCTTCTGCAAAAACAGCTTCTCCCCGTGGCTATGTGTGTGTTATAAAATCACCTGAGCTTTGCTTATTTATTGCTGGAATTAAAACTAAGCTTCTCCTTTTTTTTCCGTGGCTCTGGGTATGTGTGTACATATATRTATATATTAAAAACGAAGATTCAGCCGGCAAACAAAATACTGCAACAGGAAAAATCTAAACCAAATTTTACTGCAGAATGTGTAGGCAGTTTGGAAGCCTGCTGGTGGCCTAGCCTAGCTGTCTGCTGTGAGCCAGGGATCGCTGGAGCCTTCTTCCCACTTCTTCACTCATTTTCCTGCCTTTCTGCTGGAATGCTGAGTAGCACAGGGATGCTGCGGAGCAGGGCCAGGTGAAGGGTGCCCAGCCCGTGTTTATCCCCCTTTGCAGGAGCAGTGAGACCTCAGTGATGAAGTTTGGCTCTTGTGTTTAAGGTCTAGGTGAGGATGGTGCCTGCCTTTCTCCTGGTACGTGTTTACACTTTCAGAAATGGTACAACATCCACAGAATTTCTCCTGCCCTGTTAGCCCCGGGGTGCAGCTTTGCTTTGGTGCTGCATGTGTCTCGGTGCTCTGGTGATGTCAGCTCTGTCCTCGGTGATGTGCAGCGCTGCTGCTCCCTGTTCCCAGCAGGGACGTGACCCCTGTGGGCAGGTGAAAGGTGGGACACGGAGGATTTTAGGGGAGAAGAAGGAGTCTTCCCAACACCATGAGAAATGTCAGCACAGCTGGTGTTCATGGAGAGCCTCCAAACTGCTGCCTGCCCTCACATCCCTCATGCCCAGCGCTGCGGAAGTCTCGTAGCAAGCGCAGCACGAGGCCTGAGGAACCTGCTGTGCTTTGCCCTCCTGCTCCAGGGTTTATGAGGTGTTGGTTTTGGGTGGTTTCCCTGAGCTGGGAGAGCATGGTTCACCTGCCTTTGGCTCCACAGGGTGGGAAAGGCAGCCAGGTGCCTGAGGAAGTTTTGTGCGGCAGGAGGAAAGGGGRAAAGCTCAGCGGCCAAAGTGCCTCTCTCCTTGGGCTGCCTGTGGAAGAAGAACCTGTTGGYGTGAGATATTAAATGAGAAGGGTGGTCTGCCACCCTCCCGGGTCTGTGGTGCTGTGCAGGAGGTGGGAAGCTTTCAGAGARGAGAAATTTGGGGCTGTGGGACAGGGACAGGCCAGGCCTTCAGCACAGGAGCGGGAGGAAGCACGGACATGACGGAGAACAGGGACTTGCCTCAACCCGGGACCACAAACGGCTCTGGGTGCTCAAAATGACTGAACCTCTCAACCTCTAACTGAAACCAGGGGTTTCCTCATGCAGTAGGAAATTGTGACCGTTATTCTGGTGTCAGATATCTTTGTGCTGGCTCCTGGCTGGTTTTTTTGATCCCTCTCATTAGAGCAGACATGGTGTGCTGGGTATACCGAAATACTCTGTATCGCTGGCAAAGTGATTCATTTAAAATGACATAAATCGGCAGGTTGATATAGTAACAGCAAAAAAAAAAAAAAAAATACAACACACAGAGTCCTCTCTTGTTTGAAATCAAACAATTTTTCCAGATATTCATTATTTCTGTGTGTGTGAGCAGCTCCTCRGAGGAGCACGAGCTCGGCTCTGGAACGCCGGGTGTGCAGCCGTCCTCGCCATCAGTCCTGGCTGTCAGTGGGACAGAGAGCAGGAAGGTCACTGGAATATCACATCCAYGCTTGAAAATAAATGGCCCTGCCTTCTTGCAGCACTCAGGAACGTGTTGGTTTATCTCTGGYGGGCAACCACAGCCTGGGGATGGGGTCCTGTGCAGTGGCCTTATCTCCTTGAGAAATATTATCAAGATTTTTTACCCCTTGTCTCCTTGCTGGAGCCCAGTACACCTGTCGGCATCCTTTTATCTTTCCCAGATAAGACTGAGGCTAAATGAAGCAAATGAGTTTACTGTAATGCAAATTTGAGGGGGCTTCCTGTTTACAAGGAAATAGCTGTAGTGCCGGCAGAATGAATTCCAAGGCTGCAGGCCAAGGCTTAGCAGCAAATAAACTATGAGGGTGAAGAGTTTATTGGCCGTAGGGCTGATTATTGCTGAGTTTACGTGAATTATCCTCAGACTGGTTTTGTCCTGAAATCGTTAAATGTCACAGTTTAGGGGAGGAAGGGCAGAAAACACTAATGAGCCGGGAGTGCCTAAGGAAGAGGATTAGTGTGTTTTTGTTTTTTTTTAAGCACCAAAACAAAACAACCCTTTTTCCATCCTCTGTCATCTGCTTTTCCTTCCCTTCTGCATTTCCTCCTTTCGTTCCTAAGAGCCTTGCCAAGAGCTGTGGTATCTTTGTGTTGTACATTGTTTCCTAAAAGCCTGTTTTTCAGGGAGATTCGCATGGGTGGGCAGAAAGGCTGTCAGAGGCAGAATATCCTGCTGAAATCAGGCCTGGAATGGGAAGGAAGACAGCCCTGTGGAAATATGAGCAAATGTGAAACCTAAATCTTATTCTGCAGAATTGCTCTGAAATATCTTAAGTGTGGTGGGAAAGGAGTAAATAAACTGTACTCCGATTTTTTTTTTGGCTATTCAGCAGACTGCTGAGGTTATTCACTTTTCCATGTAAATTTTACATTTCCCTTATTTTTGTCAAAGGGAATGGAAGAGCACTATAGAGCAGCTTGTTTTTATTTGCCAGCAGCTTGTTCTGGTTTGAGTAAAGGATTTGCGTAAATGCGAAGCTGAGAAAAATGGTCCAAGAAATCAGGTAACAAATGGGAGAGGGTTCAGGGCTCGCCGAAGCCTCGTGTGCGCCACTGGAAAGTTGACATTAAACCTTTCTTACTATAAACATCACGTAAGCTTTGGGTGCTTTTGGTGTACAAATACCACAGGCATGGTAACAAAACACAGCATCCATCTGTCCAGGCTTCTGTCCCTGAGGCTGTAGATGTTTCTCTCCTCATCTTTCCTTTTCTAACCTGCTTTCAGTAATTACCTCTGTTTCAAGTTAATTTGGATTTTTCTCTCAATCTTTTTCCTTGGTCTGCTGTGTTCCTCTGAATCTTGCTCCACTGGGAGAAAAGGGACCATTGCAAAGACTTTTTTCTTAAAAATCATATTCTTTAACATGACATTTTTCCTCAATTATCACCSCATCTTCACTTGTACAGGTGAAGACTGGCCCCTGGTACCCAGCAGCTTCTCGTAGGGTGGTTGATGCACCCTTTGCTTTCTTACCCAGTATTCAAACTAGCTTGTTTCAAACTCTGATTAAGGGTTGTTGAAAACACAGAGGTTGATTTGCCTTCCCAATTCTATCCTGAGCTGTTTGTGATTTCTTTTCCTCCTCTATTGCTGCTGAATATTGTCAAAATCCAAGCGACATCTGCTCAGGGTTAAGCATCACTGCTCTGTTCTCTCTTGCTTCTGATTTTGTAATTTTATTCTCTTGGCCTTACTCTGCTCTTTCAGTGGATTTCAGTTCTTTATTTTGAGGTGGCCTTCAGGGAGTTCTCGAAACTTCTGTAAATCTCTTAAGTTGCAGGCTCACACTCCCCTGTCTGTGCTGTCAGTCTGGGTGACTTTGGCGKTGTTTTCTCTGGCATTGTTGAACGCCTTCGTGTTGTGTTTATTCATTTACGGTGCTGTCTCTGGGAAAATCTTCCTGACAATTGCGTGTGTAATTTTCATCTTTGTTGCTATTCCGCCCATGTCAGCCCGCTGTGTCTCTCTAGGTGCTTCTTTGTTGCTGCAAGAAAACTGTTCAGTTTTGGGCACCTTTCAGTGCTGGGTCACCCTTTTCCAGGAGAAGTTCTTCCTGGTGTCCAAAATCTGAAGTTTGAATGAGTAAATTGAAGCTTGTCTTACTGTCTAGCATTGCTGATGTGAAAAGACACATGTGAGGGTTCATTGGGAACTGCTTGAGGGAGGGCAAAAACTTGCTTTTTCTCTGAATTTACAGTACAGGAAGGGCTAACCATTTGTGTTCTTTGGTAGACTAGCTCAGGGGGAGACAGAGTATGGAATTTTGGTTGGAAATTCAGCCTCCCTGCATTTTGCCGTCAACACAAGTGTGTGGATGCAAAGGCAGTAAGGAATGGCTCTATTGAAATAATTTGATGTGCATACAGAGCTCTGTAGGTGTTGACAACGTGGACTTGCTTTTTATCTCAAGTCAGCTTTGTACTCCAGCACTTTTTTTGGGGAGAATGCGTGTCTAGGGATGGGTATGGCCTGTCAGTGTAGGAGGCTGTATGGGAGGGCTCCTGCAGGCTGTGGGTGCTGCTCTTGGCCCTGTTTGGGTGCTCTGTCTCTGGGGAATTCAGTTTTTACTGTACCTGCAGTGTCCCATACCCTATTTACAGACATGCCTCTAAGGAGAGCACAGGAGGATGAAAATCCTGTTGCACAGGAGGGTGAAAATCCTGTTGCAGAGCTTTAAGAGACAGGG